TCAAGATACTCAAAAGACTGGGGACAGAGGTGCAGTCAGGGCGTTCATTAGCTGGAACGCATGAACTCTGGCTGGTTTGGAGTGGCTGCAGCAACTCTAGTCTCTAAGTTTGGGTCTCAGGCGGGGAGTTCACAGAACCAGCCGCCAGTTAGCTTAAGGGAACCAGGTGGAGTCAGATTCCCAGTCCCCCTCAAATCAACCAACCGACCTTTCAAACAACCCACAGCTAAAAAAATGGCCCAGATTCCATCACTAACTTTGCTGTTCCTCATTTTGACGTTCGATCAAATCCACAGACGACTCTTTCCAGGCTAAATACTTTATCTACCTACATTTATGTACATATATTGTTTCTTAGCCCAATTATTAACATTCTTCACTTAATAAAGGCTTACCAAAATATGCGGCCACTTCCACTTTAAGTGACTTACAGAACAGGCTCGATGGAGAATGCGGAGAAGACACGCATGTTGACCTCAGGCCTGACCCTCCTGCTGCCGAGTGCCGCTGAGCCGAGGCCAGGCCTGAAGCCTGTGGCTGCAGCTCACAAGGCGTTTGACGTTTTATCCAGAGTCTAGTAACCACTTAAACAAATAAGGGGAAATTGAACACTGGGCCATTCTAAGATTTAGTTCAGATTCTCACTCAGAACTTTGATAGTGTTCATAGAATTAGTCCAGTTAATAAAAAGAAAACTTCACAGACACGGCTGATGACCGCAAAGGCTCATCAATACAGTGAAAAATCAGAGACCAAAGCGATAACCTGGGTTATTTCCAGGCATCTTAATGATTAAACAGGTTTAACTGCTTGCACCCAATGAATAGAGTGCGAATTGGCTCCTCCTGTTCACCCCAAGGTGGTCAATTTAGTGGATGCCTCCATCTTTTGTTTGTTTGTCTGACCTTGTCTTCTGATGAAAACTCCCAGTCATGTTTACCAAACTCCTTTAACTTCAAGTAATCTGAATGTCACATTTAATTCTCACTTCTTTTTCCTCAACACTTTGAAAATATTCCAGTCTTCCTCGACTACGAAATTGGTTAAGCCTGAAGTTTACCCAAATTCTAATTCCATGGCTGGGCTCCTGCCTTGACTGGCAGTCAAGGGCTTCTCTTAGATCCTAGAGCACTTTGCAAGCTCCCTGGGCAGACTAGGATGCAGTAATTCATCTCATTTGATCTGCTCCTCCATACACACAATGCAAGTTGATGTTTGTTATGACTTTCTTGATCCCTATTTATAAGACAATACAAGAGGAAACCATGTGTGTATGTTTGAAATAGAAATGATACATTGCACAGATATAGTTCACCACGTTCTGGGATGGGTTGTCAGTGTTCAAATGGGGAGTCTGAAGAGTAGGAACAGATGCTTTTTTTCCTTAATGGCTCTTTCTCTAATTTAAAATCCTTCCATTTATTTCCCTAAGATTTAGTGATAACTTTAAACACTTTAACTAAATTACCCAGCGGCTTGGCAGCCATCACAGAGGCAAATCTTTTTAGAAATCCTAGCAATCTGTTAGATCGTGGGTACTGTGATATAAAATCTGCATGCTCCACGTACAAAAATTAAATCAGTGCAATGGATACAAATACATAATGCAAATGGCGCCATTTCCAAACCAAGGGTGCATGACCTGCCTCTAAATATTGAATGTCTATGTTGCTTTCCAGTCATTGACTTTCTAAATTTGGGCCAATTTATTCTCATTATTCCTAAGTAAACTACTTTGATTTCTTAAACAGTTATTTTATAATCAAATAGAGCCAGTCAGCCCTGATTCATGGATCCTGATGTTGCTAGGATACACGGGTTGGTACTGGATGAAAGTACATCACTTCAAAGGGGAAAACTTGCAAGTGTCCTAGAAAATGACACTCCTATCTTCGTCTGTGGAAGACAGGCCCAATCCTGGAGCTTCTTGGATGCTCACAGACTGTAGGATTGGCCTCCCATGCTTTGAAATAAGCGTCCTCTCTGGAGGGCTGTGCATCTGTTAAAACTAGTCAGGTTGGTCTTAAAGCAAGGAACACACGTATTTATAGTAAAACACGTTTTCATGTTTGTTTTACAGTGAAGAGAAAAAACCCAGAACCCCCAGATTTTATGTACTTTGAAAATATATTTAAAAACATTAAAAATTCTATATTTAAAACATATATTATATGTTAATTAGTACACTTAAATAGAACTTGTATTTACAATAGGCTTCTGATGCGGTTAAGTTTTAATGCCAATTTTTTCAATAACATAATTATATAAATATACTAAAATACAATAAATATTTTTTTTTTTGTTTTACATGGTGAATAATATCTTTACCATAGAGAGAACAAGGCCACAGACATTTACTTACATTTTCAATGGGAATCACCATAAAAAAGCAACAGGCCTGCTGCCATGCATGAAACACTTCTGCCACAAAGAGACCACAGCAAGACTTTAAAAAACAAAACAAAACAGAACAGAACAAAAATGAAAAGCAACAGAGAGAGATTTTAACAAAATAAATCTTAGGTCAACGTAAACCACCAAGCATGTGACTGTGACGTGTCTTGTTGGGGAAGAGAGAGCCGGTGACCCCGCCAGTGCTGAATGCTGCTACTCAACCGCTTAACAGCTCTGGCCTTTGCTCTACTTTGAGGCTGTGATGGGAACTTTTGTTTGTTTTATAAGTTTGTCCCTCGGAAAGAGACTGCAAAAAATGAACATACAGCAGGTATTCCAAGTATTCATTACATGTTAAAAATAATTACAAAGATAGTATTTTCAAACAGCACAAAACATACCTATGCTACATAAAGTCTTCCTTCTCTTAAAGACAGGTATTCAGATGGTCCTGTAAAAGACAGGTCGTTCTAAATGAAAGACTGAACAGATAGAAATTAGTTGCTGATGGCATCTTCATCCCCGGGTCATGGTGGACATCCTCTTTTGCTTATCCCTCATCCTACTAAGATGCAGCAATTTCTTGAGGCTTTCTGATACTCAAGGACACTGGCGCAGGACGTCTTCAGTTTAGAGAGTGGGCTAAATGGGCTTAGCACTAATTTTCCCTGGGGTCCACTTTTCCCAAGACCACTACTCCAGGATCCCAACTTGACTTCTCCTGACCCCAGATGGCAGAGGTGAGGCAGGGGACCTCTCCCTGGACAGACAGGATGGACGGGAGGTCGCTGTGGCCTTCACCGGGAAGCAGAGCTCTGTCAAGACTGTCCTGGCCTCTTCCATCGAGCAAGGCACCTTCCAGCCTTCAGGGTCCCGGGTGTGCAGACACCTTCCCGAAGTCTCATCTCTGGACAAGGTTTTCTATCTGTAGCCTTGATCATCCAACCTGAGTTTTGGGGCCTTTTCCTGTCCCCTTCCCCCTTACCAAAAGTTCTCAAAAGACAAAACCCTGGTTTCCTCAAGTCTAATTTCAAAGCAGTAAGTGTTCACGGAGCAAACATCTATCTCATGGCGTCAACCTCAGGGTCACAACACCATATTTGGTTCTGCGCCTGCTCCAGGCTAATCCAGCTTTATGCAAAATGATCCAGGGCGGGGGCGGGAGTCAGCTTGAGCACGTCCTCCAGTGAGAACCTCTCAGCACGTTAGGTAATGTAGGCACTTAAAGCGCGAGGTCCCTGCAACTTGACATGTCATTCCAGAGCCACCTCTGAAGGGTCCTTCAGAGGCCTCCCTTTTGGAATGTCTCAAGTACCACTCGCCAGCCTCACCCAGACCTCGGGACGGCCACTCAGAGTCCTCCTGCACCGCCTGGAAGTGACAAGTCCGCTCCCCACAGCCTCCATGCGGCTGTTCAGTATCGTTTCACTGGCAGTGTAGACTCCTGCTCCAATCTAGGCGTTTTCTGGGTCCATACAGAACTCCACCTTTTGCTTCAAGACATTTTTAAGCCTTACCATAATTCTTTTTAAGACTTACTATGGTTTACCCTAATGTTTACCCCTCATAAAAAAGAATCCTTATTTTTGCGTGATTTTGTTATCCTTTTTCTCTTCTAAAAAGGGAAATCCCTGTTCTCCACGCTTACACCAGCTCCACGATGTGTCGAAGTTGTTCCCTCGTTCACAGCGGCGGGGGAAATATTTCAGAGCACGCACCTGATTTTTCTTCCTTGAGAGAAAACAAAACAGAGAGGACCAAGAGGGGAGGGGGCAAAGAATGTGCTGGAAGTCAAGGTAGGCCTCTCCACAGCAGAGCGCCCTGACCGCAGCCGCAGGGCGCCGAGGAGGTGTCCCGGGAAGCCGCGAGCCCTGCGCGCAGTCGCCTCTGTTTTATTCACTTTCCAGTCATCCGACTGCATTGCAAACATCTTTACAACAGACAAATGACTCTTTTCTCCACCAGAATAGGTACTGAAGGAATTCTTTCCCCATCCCTACTCCCTGTGGGAACTAAAAAAACAAAACAAAACAAACGGAAAAAACACAAAACAAACGAAAATATACCCCTCCCATGCCCCATCCCCTAAGCCAGTAACGCGATGACAACAGCACCTTGACATGTTTTAATTCCAACGCTATCAGAAGTTAAAAGCAGTAAAACAGATATTGTACTAACAGGAACGAAGATACTTACTGTCTAAAATGTAAACGGAATGTTTTGGTTCAAATTTTTGTTGGTTTTTTTTTTTTTTTTTGTCTGTTTTCTGAAAGAGGACAGTTTATTATCAATTCACAATTAAAGCAGCATGCAATTTATTATTATTTTTTAAACTTTTTACGTTTTCAATTCTTGGCAACGGCAACAAACCACAACATTATCGAGGAATGTAATGCAGATTTTTTAAAGTTGTGCGCGAAATGACTGTTTCCCTTCTGGTCATGGATCTGTCCAATAAACAGACTGTAGAACCACGGTACGGTAGAAACTCCATTTATACATGCAGTTCATAAAATTATTTTTTCTTAACTGAATAATTTACCCTGTTATGTATATATACAAATAGATAATTTTTGTCTCAATATAATCTATACAACATAAAGCCACTATCTTCCCCTTTTAATGGTCAATGTACATACACAGGAAGTGTCTATCCTTATGAACCGCCAGCCGATTCTCTTTTTGCTATCCATGGTGAGGGCCCGCACGTACGACTGGGTAGTTCGGCATTGGGAGTTCCAGTGCCTTTTGTCGATGCCCCTGCAGCCCTCCTTCGTGTAACCCATGGGGTTGCACTTGGTCTCATAGAAGTACTGCTTCAGCTGGCCTTTCGACACAGGGACCTTTTCCAGGACCGTGACCGTCCCGCCCGACATGTCCACTGCCGTCTTCTTATCCGCCGCGGTGACCCACTCGCTAATGCTGTCGCAGACGCTCAGCTCCCCGCGGCGGGCCGGGTCAGAGTGGCGCCGGACCCTCATAGACATGTTTGCAGCATCCAGGTAATTTTTGTATTCCTCCAGCAGAAAGAGAAGGGGAGGCTCCAAAGGCACTTGACTACTGAGCATCACCCGGGAAGTGTACAAGTCCGCGTCCTTACTGTTCTCTTCATCGGGCCGCACTTTCTGGCCCTCATCCAACAGGTCTTCTATCACGTGTTCGAAAGTGTCAGCCAACGAGGTCAGGCCTCTCGAGCCTGCCTTGGGCCCGTTCACGCTCTCCAGAGTCCCATGGGTCCGCACAGCTGGGTAGGCCAAGCTGCCTTGTCCTCGGGCGTTTGCTTCTTTCATGGGGGCAGCCTTCATGCAACCGAAGTATGAAATAACCATAGTAAGGAAAAGGATGGTCATCACTCTTCGCACCTGGTGGAACTGCAGGGAGAAAGCAGAGACAGGACACAAAACCGGTTAGGGTTTTCTCTGGCAGGGATGCCGTGCAGCCCATCTGACAGTAATTCCAGGGCATTTGGGAGGGTCAAGGTTTTTGACGTATTGGTGATAAACTCCAGCTGCACCAGACACAAGTTCATGTCAGCAGTGTGCTGGCGTGCTTTAATATAAACCAGAGACGGCCAGCGTTTGCCCCAAGATTTAGCATATAAACCCAAGATTAGACGGCTTCTACGCAAGTGAAAAAAATTGTGGCTTCAAGTTCTCCTCCTTCCTCCTACTTTAGCAGCTTTGCAGATTTAATTTTTAATGATCTCTGCTGTCACAAGAAACACAGTATCAGAAATGTCACTAAGCAACAACAGCAAATGTAATGGTAATTTTTTTTCGAGTGTGCAACATGTTCCTATCGCAGGAATGTGTGACGGGAACAGGAGTGGCCCAAGGGTCTGAGTGGGCCTCTCTAGCTATGCCGTGTCTAGGCCTGAGTGCACGCAGAAGCTGAAGTCAGGGAGCCATCAGGAGCCTCCACATAGACTATGTTCCTCCCATAGAGATAACCTACTAGACAGAGCAGAGAAGAAAGGTAATGTCATCGAGCCATCCTGTTTTACGGGCAAGGAAACCAAAGGCCACAGAGGACTTGCTTGCCTCGTGTCACGAAGAAAGTTTCTTAGAATTCGGGCTCCCGACTCCAGCTCCAGCATTTTTCTACTACACCTGGGTGGTCATAACTGAAAATGTTTTGCTTATTTCCAAACAAAAATCGTTTAATACACGTTGACTTTAATGATGTGTCTACGCCTGGGGCTGATATCATGAAAATAATGTGTCTGCCTAAGAGAGAATTAGAAAAGTCAGCCTTAAAAGGCACTGAAGTCAATTTCAAATGCCTCCCATATGCGGATCCACGTTCATCTCCACCAACCCTTGGAGGCCCTCACCCCTTGGCTTTTCTGGCGCATACACAGACCCATCTGAGAAACCTCAGCTTCTCTTTTTATGGGAAATGTGGTCCTGTATGTGTGTGTGAGTGTGTGAGAGCTGTGAGTTAATCGTACCTTTAAAACGCTGAGTGGCATTTTGCTCACTTTGGTATAGGCAGCTAGAGCTTCTTCCTGTGCTTTTGAAGTTTCCTGGGAAGTCCCTGAACAGCACTGCACAAAATTAATCTTTTCCCGTTTGCCAGAGGGTTGCAATACTCTAACTTTGGCTCTGCATCTACAGGCGTGCTCTGGGAAGCCAATTAGGATGGATGAACAACCAAAATGAAAACATACCTACAGACCAGCCCAAGGTTACTGTCAGCTGGTCAAGAACTTCAGAATCACTTACCTGAAGCATCGTGCCCCTCAGGAGTAAAGAGGAGCACCCCCCAGCCCCGGCACCCTAACTTAATTCCTGCTTGTCAGTTGTGGAGCAAGGACTTACAAAAGACACACACATGCCGTAGTTGTTTTGCTGTCCATCAGTAGGAAAAGGGACTGTTTTTCTGTCCATGAAGTGTCACTGATTAGGAAGGCAACCTACCTCCAGTCAGTAGCTCCTACTGCAGAAACGGCTGGAAACTCTGCGAGCGAGGACCAAATGTGTCTGTTCTCCACTTTGATGAGATCACATTTTCTACCACTAAGAGACGTTATGGTCCTCCCCAAACACCAACAAATTCCCTGCTAGACCCTCACTTTGCACACACAGCAAGCACGCTCAGAACTGTGTGGATTGCACAATGGTCTCAGAGTAGGAAGTGCACGCTGGTTTGAATAAAATGCAGATGACCCACTCTGCTAATACCCGAACTTTTGTGAATATCCTGGCTTCTGCACCATCAAAGCAACGGTCCTCCACGGAGGTGTCTATTCTGGCAGGCAGCACTTACACCACTGAACGAAAACCCTTTCTCCTCGTGTTCCCAGTCCAAATTAAACCAACCCAAGGGATACCGCAAATGTAGGTCGAGGAAAGAATGCAAATTTAGAATATTTTACTCCAGCCATCTACATCGCACTGGTAGAGATTTGCTGTGCTCAGCTAGCTTTTAACACCGTATTTCATTAAGTCTCAGATATCATCATTATAAAACACACTCTTTTAAGTACCACGAAAAAATTAAAAATGCAGCCAATTAAACTACTGCTTTCTTTATCACTGATTACTGTTATTTCAGACTTATTTGGACACTTTTTATCATATATAACTTTTATGCATGTATAAAAAAAGAAAATTAAGCAAAATAAATGGGTTAATGTGATGACAACTGTGTTATGACTTTGGCACAGCCAACAATAAGAACGAAATGACGTCCACTTCAGACACGATCCAAGTTCAGGGATGTTAAAAATAAGAAAAAGAAAATGTGTATCTGAGAATTAATGAAACAGAGTAAGTTTAATAAGCATTTACTAAGTGCCCACACTAACTGCTTACAGCGGCCCAAGGTACCGAGGCATCTCAAACCAGAGCTGGCAAACTGTTTTATCATCAGTCCCACAGCAACGAGTCTTTTAATGATACCTTTTTCTATACTTGGCTTAAAGCAGTATCCTGCCTTTCACTGGTCTCATTCATCTTTTTATTAATAACTGTTTGGTTACAAAAGTAGTTAGTTCTTTATAGATCACTTTCTCATCAGTCCCACAGCAACTATTTCAGAGGAACAAATGGCCTCTGAGTGCATATTACTTCATCCTGAGGCCCAGCATCCCTCCAAGCTGACCAGCCGCACAGATTCAGTCATTAACCACCTGGTGAGAGAGCCCAACCCCCCCCAGCCCCGCCTGCCCCGTACGTGACACCTCTACAAGGCCAACTGCCCACTCTCTGAAAGGCCTCGAAGACAAACTCAATGCTTTTCGTTGGAACAATGTTACTTCCTAACTTTTCTATTTCTGCCAATGGTTTTGTGATTCTCTGGACCACCCAGGCTGCCGGCTGGAAATCTTGGCAGCAAGTCTAACAATACATTTCTTGTACAGCCTTCAAATCCAGTCAGTGGAGAGGTCCTGCTCATTTTTCCTTTACGACGTCTCTCCTGTCCATCCCTTTCTCTCCATCCCACTGCCATTATCTTGGCTCAGCCCTCACCATCCCATTTTATGACCACAATGTCCCCCTGGTGTACCTGACATCCTTTCTGCTCCATTTAACTCTGATGACCATGGCCTAACACTCTCGTCTTATCATTCTCTTACACAGAACTTGCAATGGCTTTTTTGTTCCCCTAGATCAAATCTAACCTCCTTTTACCTGGCATTCAACACCCTCCAAAGTCTGGCCCCACCCTACTTAGCTAAGTTTGTCATATCAATCAATGCTTTCTAACCTCTGCTCTGATCAGGCCAGAGTCCTTGGAGCCCTATACACATTATTGCCCAGAAGTGACTTGTTCCATTCTCCTGGCAAACTCCTTTCTCTCTGACTAAATCTTGTTTATCCTTCATGACCCAGTTCGAGCACCAGACCACACCCGCCACGTTCTCTGATTACCTCATTATGCTAACTCCTCAGTTGGATGATAAGATCTCGGAGGGAATGGATCATGTCTGATCCCCCATAACGCTGAACACAAAATAAGGTAATAGTACTCAGTAAAAACTTACTGACGGTTTGTAAACCGTGGCAGACGGTGCTGACATCAGTGTTGTAGGAAGCCTTTCCATCTGGAAAGCATAGTGAACTCACTGAAATTATTAGGTCAAGTATAGGCTGTGCTAAACCCAAATTACCAGCTCTAAGGGATTTGACGGATGGCAATTATCAGCCATGAGCAATCTCTTGAGTTTCTCTAATAGGGTAAACCTTGACTCGAATAATTAAAAGGCCAATAACACTACAACATACTACTTCCTGTGTAGCTGTTTCTACTACTTCAAGAGGAGACTTAGACAAGTCAGTAATAATCATAATAGCAAAATTTGGAATTTTCCTTCTTTTCCTTTTTTTTTTTCTGTTAACCTCTTCAATAATTTTACATACTATATTAGGAAATCATAAAAGTTTAAGTAAGAACTTCCGTGACAATTCTTACATTTTAGCTCTTCCGATGAGTCTTTATTACACGAAAGATAAAGGGGTTGCGCAATACTGCTAAGTAGATCGTTAGTCTATATATCTGTTTATACATAATAAATTCATTGGTGCTGTCCAATTCTGCTCCAAGGCTTAAAACAATCGACTCAACCACACCTATAAAATGCTAGGAAGGTCTCTTTCTAGCTCTCAAGAATTTAAATATAGTATAGAGGGTTAAAAGAAAAGCAACGTAGTAGAAATGTAATTTAGTTTTAAGCATGACTCACAAGTCTTACATTCAGCCAGATGAATATCTGTGATAGCACGCTGTAGTAATAACTTAGATTTGTCTAAAAGACTACAGAACCTTCACAAGGATCATCTAATTTGGTTGTTATTAGGAGACAGGACAGGTATTATTATCCCGATTATACAGATGAGGCAGTTATGGTTCAGAGAGGTCAAGTAACCTATCAGATATCACAAAGCTAATAGGTTACCTGTCTCCTTGTCCAAGCTTTTACCATCAGGACACGCGCTGCCAGTTGTAGAACATTTAACTGCAGGGAGGAGAGAGGCTGCGAAGGGCCGTCAAAGGAGGAGCTGATGGGATGTGATGGTTTCCTGCAGTTACGTGTATCCTACGCCCAACTTTCCAAAGGCAGCGCCTTAAGATATGACTTCAGAGAATTGGATTAATCCTGCCCTCTAAGACCCTTCAATCTTAAGGCTTGACTACTTCAGCAGATGGAATTTTAGACAACGTGCTCTTCCTCTAAAGAAAGCTTTCCAAAAATTTAGATATGTTGGAACCAAGTTTCCATGGCCAAAGCTAAGAAGAAAAACCAAACAACAGTATGAATAATTCAGGCATCCAGGAAAAAAGTGCCACGCTCTGTTTGCTCCCAGTCTCTTTGGGTTTGTCTATGAGCATGAAATTAAAGAAAACA